TCTACTAGTGTTAAATTAGCGACGGAAATAAAGTGGATATTCGTGTTCAGCACATCAGTGTATAGATCTAGAAGAAAATGTGACGTCACGTGGCTAAATGTGAGACAGCAGGGAAGTGAGAGAATGCCCCAGTTTGTAAGTCACAAGGACATAGATGTATTACTGTACTACTGCTATGACACGGCAATATGTCACAAGGACATAGATGTATTACTGTACTACTGCTATGACACGGCAGTAAGTCACAAGGACATAGATGTATTACTGTACTACTGCTATGGCACGGCAATAAGTGACTAGTTCATATCTATGTATTACTGTACTACTGCTAAGGAACGATAGATCTAGAGCAATACGTCACATCGCAGTTGGCTCACAACTGAATTCTCGCTGTCTTTGTGGAGGTGTATAGTTTGAGCAAGATCTTTCCTTCCTCGCCTCCTTTCTACTATACTGTGTTTGTGTATCCTTTGAGTTTTAGTAAGTGTTTTATGGCACTTGCAACACAGTAAGGTCATAATTTATAAGCACCGAAGATTAGAGGTGCTACAAGAGAGTAACAAACACAAAAAAGGAGGAGAGATCAGGACGATAGATGTTTGATAGGGAAGAAGGAGCAACCCACACCAGAGCACCCACCAACCACCCACACTGTTTGTAGAGAGGGAAAATAACATGCCTTTTTTACTTTTTCACAAGTCGTCATGTCACTTTTTGTTGTTATAAAAATAGGTAAAAATATTCTTAGATTCTATGTATTTTCCAAGGAAGGAATTTATTAGACATTCAAAATTCCTGATTATGCAAAACTATCGGATCCATTAGAGGTAAGGAAACTAAGAGAAGTTCCAAGTGACCCGAGAAGTTTCTCTACCAGACTGTCTGCGTGTGGTCGACCGTTCTTAGTGCAGATAAAAAAACATCTTACATTATTTACTTGTTGTTGAGTTCATTTCACACGGCAGAGGTAGACAAACTCCACAAACAAAGATCCGTCTTTTCACGAGGACAGAGAAAAAACCCAACAACAAAACAAAAAGCTCCGAGACCCGTGGTGAAACAAAGGAGCCTAACTAGAACAATATTGGAGTAGATCTGTATCTCCACACGTCGCTTCACAAACAACAATACACAGAACAAGTCAAATGGATTCAGAAATTCGCAGCAGGCCCTGTCTACTGTTTCTTCAGTTTGAGAAAATTCCCTGTTTTCTGTGCCGAATTTAATTGCAGTACAAACTTCATACCAATATCACCCCTCCCTTTTTTTGGTAACATTCTTTTGACCGTGGTATAGAATCTAGACCTAGACCTAGTTTTGTTTTTGTTGTTGTTGTTGTATTTTTGTCTCTTTATCTACGCTCGAGAATCACGAAGACAAAACGTTTTCAAACTTGGGAACAGATAGAACCTAGGCCTAGGCCTAGACAAAAGCAAGGTTCATCAATAACAACATTAGTTGAGTCATTTGTACAGTGCATGTAAATCTGTGACTTTCCGATATCACGAGTGTGTGCGTGTTTTGTGGGGAACCCCCCCCCCCCCCCCTCTCTCTCTCTCTCTCTCTACAGGAACAACAATATTATTTAGTTAGTTAAATCATAGCGTGGTACTTGTGAAACAACAGAACGTGCCACCAATGTGTCGCCTACAACAAGCCTACCTGACATAGCCCCCGGGGCTGTTCATCACACAAAGTTCACAAAGATAGGACAGATCTTCACGGGGTCTTTGACACAACGACAGTCGGATGGGTGGTTGGTCATTACATTAAAGGTTCCTATGTTAACTGTCCATACCCTCCCCCCCTCCCCCAACGCCCTTTCATCGTCTAAAAAAGGCAAGTCTTACCACAAACTCACTAACAACGTCTACGACAAATCAGGAGGAAATCTAAGCTCCGTCCTTCAACCTACGATATGTAGGCCCTATACTACCGGGCGATCTGATTTTTGCAGACGTTCTAGATCTAGATCTAGATCTAGATTAGATCTAAATCTAACACACTTAGAGTTAGGGTGAAACTACTTTCGCATGTAGAATGGAATAAAATAACGTATGCTGGTACTGCTGACATCCACTTATCGCTTACCTTCCATTCTTGGTGACGATCATCTCATTGGTAAACTCCTTGAATTTCTCCCATAACTCCCGGTCTTCCAGCACCACGTTCAGATGGCGTTCCGGGTTGTTGTCGCTGTTGCTGCTGCTGCCGCTGGCGTGTTTGTTGTTGTTGTCGTTTTGTTGTTGCTGTAAATCCTGATCCACAGCGGTGAGGAGATGGTTGATGTCCATGGAGGGCAGTGAAGCCATGGCGTCGGGGTTCAAAGGGCCACAGTCGCAGCTTTCTGGTGGGAGCTCGCACTTGAGTGGAGAATCTAACATCGGTGCTGGCTCCAGACGAGATAGGAACTGTTGGAGAGGAAGGGGACACACTCACAACTACACTCTGCCGCACACACTGACAACGGGCGGAGAGACGGCGTACAGCTGACAACAACAATCCAGTGTCGGAGATATGGAGAGAATAGAACACTGTATGGAGAGCCGGCCTGTGAGACTTGCACCAACACACGGGATACGACTTGACGAAGGGAAGGGAAAAAGTTCTCTAAGCGATTCGCATCCCCGTCTGACGGTGTGAAACTAACGAGCCAAAGGACTTACATGTGTTTACTAGCTCCTCTCCAACAGCTTGCAGAAATCACCGCGCCACCCGCTCGCTACTTCCCGCCACCTATCACCTGCCTGGGAGCGAGCCAGGGGGCGGGGCTTCGTCTCACGACTCGCTCTCTCATTGGCCGGCTGTGGAGGGACAGGGGTCGATGAGTCGTTGCTGGCGGGGGTGGGAGGAATTGACAAGCCGGTCGTGAAAGTGACAAGCCCGACTCGGCCCCCAAGGCCTGGGACTGGCGGGAACATGGCGACACTCTGACCTCTCGCCGCGCGCCCTCGCCGCCCGCCCACACTGTGGTTCCCGGGGGGAGGGGGGGAGGAGGCATTGATTAGAGAGCTGGCGAGTGAGAGCGAGGGGCTGAAGGACGAGGGGA